GAAACGTCAGCCTTCCTGCTCCTACGATGCTGCTTGGCCTGCTGTGTTCATCCAGCTCTACACCTTGTTATCTCAGATTTTCCAGCATCTGCAGTTCCTACTATCTCTGGTAAATAGACAAGGTCTTTTCCCTGTGGCGGGGAGTCCAAAACTGGAGAGCTGAGAGAGGAAAGATTTAAAAGGGACATAAGGGGCAACTTTTTCATGCAGCAGGTGGTGTGTGTATGGAATCAGCATCCAGAGGAAGTGGTAGAATTACAACATTTAAAAGACATTTGGACAGGTATATGAATAGGAAAAGCTTAGAAGGATCTGGACCAAATGCAGGCAAAACAAAGAACTGGTTCAGCTTAGGAAACCTGGTCGGCATGAACTAGAGACAACAAGGTGCAGGACTGGATGAACACAGCAGGCCAAGCAGCATCATAGGAGCAGAGAGGCTGACGTTTCGGGCCTAGACCCTTCATGTGACACCAAGAGCCTCTTCTACTTGCTGTAAATATATTCAGCCCGAGATCTTGTGCCTCGAGTTGCTCACAAGTCTCCACATGTGATCCAGCTAAACGGATAGAAGAACGAAAACAGGGATTTCAACCCATACACATGCGCAGACTCAACCTTTTCTCTCTTCGCCACTCACCTTCCGGCGGCCCAGCCACCCACCAATCACATCAGCGCCCAGATACAGTACCACCACCACAGATCCTCCACACCGATTGGCTGTCGGGTGGAAGGGGCGGGACCCACATCTGCCGCGACGTGACGTCACCGCGCCGTTGCTAATGGCCGCCGCCTCCAGGTTTGGTTGATCTCCACTTCCGGCGGTCAAAGCTGCTGTGAGGGCGCACAGACTTGGGAAGAGACGGATACGGAGAGGCGGGGGGAGGGGAAGGGAAGGTGGTGGAGGAGGAGGAGGAGGAGGAGGAGGAGGAGGAGGAGGAGAGATCGCAAGGGAAAGAGGAAGAACACGGGCTTTAACGGTATGGAGGAGCAGACTGTCCACTGTTAGATCAGCAGCAGAGGCAGGCCCGAGCCTTGTGTAGCGGTGATTTGCTTCCCCCCCTCGATTGAAGCATTGAGGATAATGCGGGTGTTTTCCTCCCTTGCTCCTTTCTCCAACCACTGAATATCCTGCACAGACCTGAGCTCGGAAAGATGCCTGTCCAGTGTTTCTGCCTGGCAGCGCAGGCTCGATTCGACTCAAAGTGGCTGAAGACGGATTTGCAGGTAGTAACATTAAATAGATAATTGTTACCAGGCGAAGTGATAAGGTGGAGTCCCAAATCCAGGTTAATACAACTATGAAGATACCCAAGCCCCCACCCAGGTTGAAGGATGTAAAATAAGGATGGGAGCGCCAATAGGATAATGTTTGTGTGTGTGTGTGTGTGTTTTTGGTTGGGTGGGTGCGTGAAGGATGCTGATTTATTTTCCGGTGTGATTGTAATTTTAGTCTCCTGCAGAGATGCAGCCGTGGAGCTGGATAGCTTTTTTCTCTTAACCCCACTTTCCCTCTTCCCTATCCCCTCATCTTCCCGTTGCTCGTGTTAGTTTCAGTGATGAATATGTCAAATAGAGAGGGTACAAATAACAAGTTTAAACATATTATACTCATTTTACATTCATTATTTGATTATGTGTGTGTATGTGTATGTGTGTGTAAGCTCTTATGAACGGTTGTTGTATTGTCCTGAGTTCAGTTTGCCCTGGTTTGGAGTATGTATCAACATTTACTGTAGGCAGTTATCCAGTACTGTAACATTATACTGTATTTAAAAGATCAGTATGTACTTTCACTTAAACATAGGATATTTAAAGAATTCCCATTATCAACTAAATATCAGAAACTGCCATTATCCTAATCTTCTCTGGACCCCAAATCGGCCTGAAAATGAAAGTGACAAAGGTGGCAAACATTTTTTTAAACGCATCTCTCGTAGAAGTGAGGTTAACATATTAACCACTTTATAAGACTCTCTTCTGGGAAGCTGTTTTGTATTGAATTATTTGCATGCATTGGTAGCATTCAGAATCTATTGTTTTAATTCATTCAAGGCATGTGACCTTTGATGAGTGTGTCATTCAACATTTTTTTTTCCCATGGTTGCCTTCTTGAGCCATCAGTTCATTTGGTATATATTGCAAGTCTATTTGCAATGCTGTGAGGAAGGAAATAGGATTTTGACCAAGCCTCACTGAAGCAATGGAGATATAGTCAGGATGGTGATCGCTTGGAGGGAAACTTGTAGGTGTTGGTGTTCTCTGTATTTGCTGCTCTTGTCCTTCTCGATGGTAGTGGTCGTGTGTTTGGAAGGTGCTATCTAAGAAGTCTTGGTGAATTTCTTATAGATGATCCACCCTCTTTCTACTGAATGGTGGTGAAGGGAGTGGATGGTTATGGATGTGATACCAATAAAATGGGCTGCTTTGGCCTGGATGTTGTCAAGCTTCTTGGTTGTTTTTGGAGCTGCACTCATCCAGGCAAATGGAGAGTATTGCATCACGTTTCTGACTTGTGCCTTGTAGATTGTGGGCATGCTTTGGGGAATCAGGAGGTGAGTTATTTGCTACAGTGTTTCCAGCCTCTGACCACTCATGTAGCCACAGCAATTATATGCCTAGTCCAGTTCAGCTACCTGTAATGCTATCCCCGCCCCTTGACAAGGTACTTGCTGTTTGAGGTTAAGAGCGACTTGGTCGTCGATGTGTCTTAGGCAAGCAGCTAATGGAGGAAATATTTGTTTTTGTGAATAAAAATGAGAAATTTAGTGCACAACATAGTAAAGATGTTGTATGCATTGCAAATTACTTTGCTATAAAATCCTTGTGTGTGTGTGTATGTGTGTATATATACTTGTTCCAAATTTTATCTGAGGTGATGGTGTAGCATTAATATCACGGGCAAATGCTCTGGAGGCATTCATTCAAATCCCACCATGACATCTGCTGGGAAGTTAAGTTCAGTTAACAAATTGTAAATCAAGAGCTCAGTGATGCCTCATCAATCATTACTTTAAACCATTGCTGTAAAAACCCATCTGATTCATAGGGGAAACAGCAGTTCAAGAAGTTGAGGGCAGTTAGGCGAGCCAATGAAATTAAATCCAGTGAAAGAATAAATAATATTGAATTTCAAGCTCAATTGTGCTGAAAAGGTGAAAGGCCAAGAGCAGAAATTCATATTTCTATGCAGTGCAGGGAGGAGAATTATATGTCAAGTGTGAGCTTAATTTCTGTTCATGCTTTCCTTCCCAAAAATCTTGCTGATTTGATTTTATTTTATGGTATTTATTGAAATATTAGGAACAGAGCAAATCATCTGTGCCAAGCAAAATGAGACATGTTAGTATTAGAATTTGAAACATGGAAGCAAGTTGTTTTAGCCTACTTGAACTGTGTTGTCTATCCTAATTGTGTACGTCCATCTTGTTGGCATATCTCATCTGTTCCTATTCTTAAATGTTGGCAGGTGCTGTGCTCCAGTCACTAACTCTGGTAATGCAGTCCACAGTTTTCTAGCTTATTGTGTGAAACAAATAGTGCATTTCTGTTGCATGCCCTTAATCTCTTGTATTTCATTTGAGATTGCTGCGATGAGAAAAAATGCCAATCAGTATGTACGTGCAGGAAGAACTAAAAATGCAAACACGTCGTAATTTTGGAATTTTCCACACAGTTTCTATTCTGCAACAATTAGTGAATGTATAATCTCCTTAATACAGCGAGTGTCCTGAGAAAGAAGGTTTAGATGCTGAGCATAAATTGAGAGAAGTCTTGAGAGAGGCAACTTAAAGCTATGTCAAAGAGGAAGGTTTTGAAAAAGGAAGCTCTGAAGATGGGGTTTAAGAGCAACTCAAGAGTACAGGGCATAGGGCCATGATGCCTGCAGGGAATGGAGTGAGGTGGTGTGCTTAAGTGAAGCTTAGAAGATGGGAAATAGAATGGAAAATGTTTCCATATGTAAGATTGAGAGAGGTCTTGTAGATGGTTTGTAGTTGGGGTTGAGGGTAATGACGTTGGGTGGCTGATGGAACAAGAGTGATAGATGTTGCAACTCTGGGATAGCAATGGGTGTGGAGTTTGGCGATAAGTCGAAGTAGACTAAACAGTCTTTGGAGAACATTAATATGGAAATGATTGGAATGTAGTCGAGCATTTTGATAGTGATTCATGTGATTGTGCATTTCCATGTCAGTATTGACAGTTCAGCTGAGTATATTTGGTTTAGTCTGAGTGAGTAACATTGGCAAGGATGGAGTGTGCATCGATATTAACTGATGCATTAGAGTTTCAGAAAAATGATTTTGACTGATTCTGATTACCAGTGGTTTATATGGAGATGGCGTGAGTGAAAGGCATTGAAGTGTTCAGTCAGCCACATAGTGTGGTAGACATAGACCTGATGGTCTGAATGGTGTACTCCTGTTCCTATGAATATCATTTATAGGTACAGGTATCGAGCAATGATTCTGTGATATTGTCATGTTGTGTTGATTATAGCTTTACAAACCTAGTATAAGCAAACTGTCTTATTTGGATACTGATCATATTTTAAAACGTGAACTTGATTATTGTTTTGTTAATGTATGTTTTTAGAACAGCTATTATTGAAAAGAACAACTAAAAAAAAGGAATTTTAAGAAAATGATTTTTGTTTCTAAATGATCTTTTTCTGTTTATAGTTTAATTGTAGTGAAATGAATTTCGTCAGATCCCATTTAAAGACCTTCAGAACTTGTGTATGTTCCCTGAAGAGTTTCAATACAATTTCCCTATCATGCTGTAATTGTTTTTGTTGATCCACTGCAAAACAAAATAAACAGTCTTGAAAAGTGAAGTCTGTTGATCCTTTGCAAGATTTATTAAAGGACATTGATTATATTTTGATGTGGTTGTATTGACCAGGAATAGATATAGCTGTAGTACTTTTGATCTGCAAAGAAGATAAGGAAGACCTAAGAATGTATGTCCCAGTGGAATTTTTTAGCAAAGGATGGCTCTTTGAAACTTCTCATTTGATATAGAAAAAAAAATACTCGAAGGTAATCTGTTTAGGAATAAAGTAATGTTCTGTGGAAAATGAGCACATTTTAGTAAAACGTGAAAATCTCCCTCTCTCTCTCGACTGGTGGTCTCTTGGAAGAATGGTCTGTTAGACTGACTTACTGTTCTGTGCTGTATTGTGCATTCTAAACAAGACAGTGTCGTCACCTGAAACTCATTGCATTGTATGAAGCACCTCCAGTTTAAACGTGACTGTGAGAAACTTCTTTCTTGCTCAGTTACTTTTGGCGAAGATTTCTTTTTAGGTTCCTCAAAACATGTCAAATTGGTGCAATCTCTGCTTGTTGTCATACTTTTAGCCACTACTCCTGAGATACTCCTCATGTATGGGAAGAAGAAAATTGGACCCTCAATGTAATGTGACCTTTACTATATTAGTTTCTTATGATTCATGTTTAAAGTTGCTAGTAAGAATATAAATACTTTGAGACAAGGTAAATTGACAAGGAAATCCTGATGATCTTTCAATTGTCTGAAAGAGAGATCTTTATTTGTAAGTTACCACTTTAGCCCTACTGTACCTTTTGCAGAGTTAAAACTTTGAGCAATTCAAAAATATTTTAAGGTTGTCATAGAAATGCCAGGAAAATCATGTGGAACTTCAAATGCTAATGTATGTGCTGACTATTTTAAACTTCGTGGTATTGTGAAAGAACACTTTCAACTATTGAGCTATTTAAGTGTTTTTGTGCAATAACAGCTTAAATGTGCACTACATGTTTTATCTCCATAACCACCTGGTGAACCATTGAGATTATTTAAGGTCTCAAGTTTAACTAATTGTTTTCTATATGTGCCTGTCTTTCTCATTTTGCTTTATCAGCCACTTAAGAAAGGAAACTAAATTGCAGTGAGGGTGGACTAATGCTTGATTTCGGCTGACAGCCAATTTCTGTGTATATCTAACAGAAAATACAACTGAGCTTATGAGAAGGAATGAAGAAATTGTGTAACTACTCCTCAGTCCATGCCAAAGATTGTTGTGACAGTTGATGTGAGCTTGGCCTGTTGTCTTGTCAGTAAGTTGTTTTTAATCAGGCCTGTAGGTCTGGCTCAATTCCAGAACAGTTGTCCAAGGGTACTAAATTTTAAATTACTGTATAAGTTAATATCAGGTTTGTGGATTTATTTCATCTGCAGAATCTACCCAAGACCTGCAGCTG